CCTCGTCCAGAAAGAGGCATGCATGCGTGCAGCAGTTTTGGTTAGGTTTGGTTAGGTTTGGTTAGGTTGACTTGATTTAAGAGTTGAGCAAGTGGGACAATTGTTTGACTCGATAAATCTATGGAAAAAAGTTTCACTTGACTACCGTAAGAGTCGGAGAGATGGCACCCCCGTGTTAGCGTTTTTTTGTAGCCTATTTATCCACAAGTAGGAGGGTGCGAACACCAACCGATACCTCTTAGGAAAGCCCTCGACGAGATGTTTCCAAAACTACCCTTTTCGGCACTGGTGCCCCCCTGGTTGTGGAGCAATACGCTATCAAAAAACGCTAACATGGGGGTGCCATCTCTCCGACTCTTACGGTATTCTATGGAAAAAAGTGTGACATTTTTCACTTGGTCTAAGTAGGAAAATCCATCACATTTTTAACTTGATCTAAGTAGGAAATTTCGGGCAGATTTCTTTGTTGCTTTTTTGCGGGATTGTGCTGGCTAAAACCCCCATTTGCAATTGGGGAATATAACGTCAAACCATAGTGCATGCATGCATGCATGCCTACACGGCCACGGTAAGCATCGTGTGGGGAGCAGCGGAAGACTTCGTTCTTCTTGGGATCGTGTGCACGGCTGGCTCTCTCTGTCGGAGGAAGGCAGGATTGTGACGCATGATAGTAGTCTGTTGTCCGGCGGTGAGCGATGGACGGCACACACACTACTACACACGAAAGAAAAAAACTAGAAAAAACTAAAAAATTACAATCTGCAGGTGCCATATATATGCAGGAATGATGACGGCGGTTTCTTGTAGCACCATGTAATGACGAATAATCTTCTTCCCTTTTATTTTCTGTATTTTTACAACCACGTGGTTTTTGTTGTTTTTTTCGTTCGTGCCGTGTGTGTGTGTTTTTTTTGCTTCAGGACAAATACAACCGAATTGGAGTACGGCAAAGTTTCTCCCAGGCTGCGTTATTTGCGCGAGTAGAACGGGATCGATCCCGTTGCCTGTCTTTCTTGTTTGGGGGGGGGGGGGGGGGGGGGGGGGGGCCCCAACCCAAGGTTTTCCCTTTTTTCCCCCCGCGGGGGGGGGCATTAGGGTGAACCCTTTCAGGACGGGGATCCAAGAACAAATATTCCCCGAAAACCAGGAGGGGCCGGAATTTTACGACCTGTGCCAAAAAAACAAAAAAAAAAGGGGGGGAAAAAACC